TCGCGAGATTATAAGTATCTTCATTTTATCGAGCCCGAATTTATTATAACTAATTTGGTTCCGGGGAAAAGCATCATATTAGGCCACTTTATCTTATCGGGGGATCATTATATCGAGAGTGACTGTGTATATCCCTATATACTATAGCCTCTAGTAAGAGGACTTGGTCAATTAATAATCATAATTATGTTAAAATTGCAGGATACAAATTTATAAACTAAATACAGCAACATAACAAATCAAAAATTACCTCAACATTGTTTATTTCAACATAAAAAAAATTTTTTTTTCTAATCACGCAAATGTTTTTCTAAATCGGGTAATATGTACTGTATTTGTGTACATTCCCATACTTGTAAATGTCTCTTTGCAAGCCATAATAATAGACAAGGATCTAATGTATCCAACTTTGAAACAAAATAGTATTCAATAAAACTATAAATGTAAAGTAAAAGTTGATTTTGTGTCAATTATCTGTTTACCACATGACTGAACTCTAAGCATAAATATTTTATGTAAATCTTCGCCCAGAGATTTAGCCTCTATAAAAATCCCTCATTATCATATACAGTGAGCTCTCTTTATAGTGGAGACACAAAATCCAACAGTTTTCAACACTATAACGAGCTATACACAAAAAGACATCTCACCATATAGTGTATTTTAATAATATATCATGTGACACTATAAGCGAATTTAAAAAAAAGTTTATTTCGTATTAACACGCAAGGAAAAGCAGTAAAAGTTTTTAAGCTGAAAATAGAAGATGAATGACCACAAATTTTACTGAAAGTATTGGATAATGCTAGACTGGCGCTTGTTTTCAATATTTCGAAAAATTTGATGCTTTAAACTGTTTAACGTTTTCATAGTTACAGATTCGTACCAACTGTCTGTTCCTCCATAACAAAGGAGAAAAACTTTTTTAGCTCTAACCTGACTATAATTATTGTTATTACCCCTCCACTATATTAATATCGAACGAAAACTACACAATATAGCAATTTCGTATTACATACACTATATAGAGGCGCTTTAGACTACAATCAATCAAACATATTTTCTCCACTAACTGAAATCTGCATTGTTGAGGCAATAGTCACGGAAGAGCGGATAACTACTGTCTCGGTTTGAGATCTAGCTGCGCTGTCGTAGGAGTGTGGCTCACCTCATACTCAGCGATAGCTAAAACGTAACAAACAGTTAGTGACCTTTTAATTAGGCTTTTTACATGCTGACGTCTCGTATACGGATCGCACTCTACCGGAGAATTAATTCGGTACTCTATAGTCGAGGTCTTGATAAGGAAATAACGCGTTGAGAATGTAATAATTAATTATCGTAATACCACACGAAACAAGTATTATGATCGATCTTTCCGTTATACGGATTAATGATTTATGAAATATTCAGGAAAGAATTATTATGTCAGAGTAAATAAATACTCATTTATTAATAAGAAATAAAATAACGAGGAAATCGAACGTCTTCGATATAAGGAATCTAATATTGACGAATACTGCAAACACACCGATGCTAAGCTGCTTACATGCTTTTCGGACTGCTATCTGATCTATTATTGGCATCGTTACCAAATCTAAATTACTAATCTATCGTTATCAATACCTCGCTGTCCGCGCTACCTGCTGCGGACAGCGGACATCTTGCTATCGCCATGTTTGCTGTCGCCTTGTTTGCTGTCCGTGTCACCATCCGGTACTTGTCTCGCATCAACAATTAATTGTGTACCGTTGCTTCTGATCCTCGGAAATGTTGATGACACCATGTGATTTGGGAAGTTTTTGTGAGCATTTTTCTGCTATTCACTTTTTAATAAAAAGTAAATACATAACTATACTACATAAAGGGGAACAAATTTATCTATTATTAAGAAGGTTTGTCAATGCTCCTTATAAGGACATAACGTGTCATTCTCATAGATCAGTCGTCATATAAACTGGTTTTACGAAATGATTAGATTTTGCATTCAATTATTACTGAATATCATGTGATCGGATTAAAGTTTGATCAAAAACTCCTGGCGTATCGTGACACCAAGCTTAGTAATACTATTTTTTGGAATATCTTTCAACCATGGCGATTGTCCCACTGAATAAATCTTTCGTGCCGCCGTTATACCTGATTATCTAACCCATTCATAAAGATAGATTGTTTGCTGACAGTCTATTTTATCTTTAGCAAATACACGTTTCATCGTTCTATCAGATCTTGAGGGACAATGGTGAAAATTGGCATCAATGGGTAATAACACCATTCCTAATTATAGCTTGTTGATCAAAGTGTGCAGCAATATGACTCATTGTCGGCGCTATTAGTTTCGGTCGTATTGGTCGTCTTGTTTTAAGAGCAACCTTTCAACAAGGGAGAGAAGACATCGATGTGGTCGCCGTTAATGATCCTTTTCTTGACGTTAGTTATATGGTTCGTAAACTATAATCACGTTATCTTCAGAATGTAAAAGACATTATTCTCGGAAATCGCCCAAATGTTGCAGTATTCCCATTTTTTAATTGATTGCTTTTTGTAGTTGTATCTGTTCAAATACGATTCTTCACACGGAAGGTTCAAAGGTGACACTAAAGTCGATAATGGTAAACTTGTGGTAGACAAACACATCATCACCGTTTTCAACGAAAAAAACCCCGAGGACATTCAGTGGGGCAGCCTTGATGTTGATTACGTTATAGAGTCGTCTGGTGTATTCACAACGACAGCAAAGGCCTCTGCTCATTTAAAAGGAGGCGCTAAGAAAGTTATTATCACATCTCCAGGTGCAGACACGCCACTGTTTGTATGCGGTGTCAACCTCGACACATATGATCCTAAGTATAAGATTATTTCCAACGCGTCATGCACAACCAACTGTCTTGCCCCTCTGGTTAAAATCATTCACGAAAATTTTGGTATTGAGGAGGGTCTTATGACAACTATTCACGCAACGACAGCTACTCAGAAAACAGTGGATGGCCCCTCCGGCAAAGACTGGAGAAGGGGCAGAGGTGCAGGTCAGAACATTATTCCTAGTACTACAGGTGCTGCTAAAGCCGTTGGCAGAGTCATCCCAGAACTCAATGGCAAACTTACTGGAATGGCCTTCAGAATTCCGACAACTATCGTCTCTGTTGTTGATCTTACAGTCAGAATAAAAAAGAGTGCTAGCTATGATGATATTAAAGCGGTCGTTAGAGCGGCGGCGGAAGATGAAAGATACAAGGGAATAGTAGGATATACGGAAGACGACGTAAATATCCTGATGCTACCACTGACCCATACCTGTGTACACTCGAATTTATTTCTTCGCTTGCATATAGGTCGTCTCCGGGGACTTTCGCAGTGATACGCATTCGTGCATCTTCGATGCCAAAGCTGGTACTCACAGTTTACAAATAGTACTGCAGTCATGATAACGTTCTGCTGATGTTATTAATAATGCATTCATTCGTATGTGATTAGGCATTGGGTTAAGCGACCATTTCGTTAAACTCGTCGCGTGGTACGACAATGAGTGTAAGTACATAATTACCCTTTATAATATCGTGATTGGTAATTATTACGAAACAGACATTTTGACTTTGATTCATACATTTAGATGGGTACTCAACTCGTGTGCTTGACTTGCTTAAGTACGTAGTTGCGAAGGACAAGGAAGCTTCATTGAAGAGCTGAATTTTTGGTGAGTCTTTACGTAACATCGATGATTTTCAGCGAATGAGACATCGAGATCACTATGACATTGTCAATATATTTTCCGGCGCGTTTATTCATCTTGCTACCAGATTAACTTGTCTTGATATTGCGGATAACTTATTGGTCATTTCCTTTTTTGCGGAATCATCGATTGAATTCATATAATAATTTATATTAACGTTAAGTTTCGAGGTCTTACTATCACTATGGTGAGCTATCACCTATTACTATATAAACCGTACTAGTCTGAAATTTCGGATGTACATTACCACGTGATTTTATAATAAATTACATGACCATGCATATTTTTTATCGTGATAACTGTTTCATAATTCAATTTTGACAATACATGTCAGGGATACAACGGTGAGACTTATACTTTCTGGCAGCATATTCTGCCAACTTACCAGCGATTCCCTTCCTATACAAATCCGTGTAGCGTCATGCTTTCCTAGCGAATCTTCTTATTGTTAACACTGTTAAGTTCTTTTTTTTTAAAATTTCAATTCTTTCGTTCAGGTTATGGGTCCTTGATACATCGTAATAGTAATAGGTTCAATCAAGAAGTAAAATAAACTATGACTATCATTATTATGTGCAAATTTTATACTAATGCTAATACTAATACAAAGTGCTGATCTCTAGTACTAGTCCGAAATCCGTCTTTTTATTATATATATCACATAATAATAAAAAATTACTTAAAACTTTACAGAATATTTTATAAAAGTGTGATAAAATGTTCAGCTTGTTTTAATTTAACATTTTATCAGTTTATATTTACAATATATTTATTTATAAAGTTTGAAAGTTAAATATTTCGCAGTGTAACATATCCCAATCGGTAAGGCCATTATTAACTTCTACAAACAACGTAGTGATTTAACGAAATTCTATTGACTGTTAAAGATATTACTGAATATAATGAACGATATAGTCTCCTGTCCTATGTTAATTTATATGCTCAAGCCTTCTTCTGAATACCGAACAGGACGTACAGGACGCAACTGATACGACGCCGGAGACATGCAAGTTGGTAGTATAAGTATCCAAACGCTTCTAGCTTGAGACAGGAACAAGTAAACGCTTTGAAATTTTTGGTAAAATTTCAGCTCGGTCGGATGTCTCTAGAAAAATTTTCAAACACCAAAATTTTTACCTAGAGATATCTCGCGATTTGACCATAAAGATTCAAAAATTTATATCTCGACATTTTTCAAACCAAATTTTGTAATTCTTATTTTATTTTATTTCTCTGTACCAATTAAAATGCATTTACACTACTACAAAAGCAAATGATCGTACGACATAACAATATTTATAAACAGTACGCGCGTTGGTTGCCAAAGACAATAAAGTATTTTTCTAAAAAAAAAAACGCAGAAATTGATTAACAAACAAACAAACAAGCTTACGCAAATCGATTAGTTTGAAGTTTATGTCGAAATAAACAACGTGTGGCGTCAATATGTTTTGATATTTTCTGGAGACATCTGATCGGGCTGAATTTTACAGGTAATCATGGTTTGTTGTGCACTTTATTATTTTGCACAAAATTTTCAAAGCGTTTACTTGTTCCTGTCCCAAGCTAGACGCGTTTGAATACTTATGCTCCTTAGTGTAAACACAGAAAGAGTGCAGACGTCTCGGTGGTAGAGGATTCTGAGAAAGCCGAGCAAACTAAGGCCAAAGACGCAACCATAGTTGTAATGCATAATTGCGCAAGCGCGTATCTATTCACCCTCACATAGTCGACACTGAGAATGATTGTGCTGTTAGAACTATACAAACGTCATTACAATGTAAGAATTTACTCATGACCACGATAGCATAAAAAATTGTATACTGGTGCTTATCATGTAATTGTCAAATCCAAGACACCCCAGATCTTACGCTATACGAATTCTTAATTGCACCACAAGTTTACATGTGAAAATAATTAGTTTCACCGTTATATGTTTCAATTTTCGGGAGAGTTTTATATACATTATTAAAAAAAACTCTAAGCTTAAAACCTTTTGGATCAGTATACGACAACAAGCCATTAACTTTGTAAACACGTTACAGTAAACATAATTACTGACATACAGTATTTCTAAAAAAACAGTTTCTACGTTGAGTTAAAAGTTTTTAAAGACAGTTGATTTTATTGCAATATTTACTGTTTATATAATAATAATGCCCGTAATTGTTCACTCGGAGTTGACTTTGATATTGTTATACATTGTTATTGGTCAACAGTATATGTTAATGATGACGAAAATGTCGACTCAATTACATAAAAACCCTTTTATACATTTAATTAAAAAAAAAACAAACATATTTTTTTGATTACCTACTGTAGTTTTTAGAACTGATAAGATTTATAAAATTTGCAGTGACAAAAACAAATTTGATACTAAATTTACTGAAACTTGGAACGTTTAGACATGACGAAGCAGAATGTCAAAAATTGTATATACGTGCATCCCTACTTTATTTTGGTTTTGACAATTAAAGGTGTCAAATTTCTGTGTAGAGTTCTTTGGCAACATTTCCCGGAAGTGAACAAAAAGTAACAAATTATCTGGCTAATACTAAAAACATTTATTGATGAGAATGCACTTGAAGTTTTGAGGTCTTTATTTCGCACATGGTAATGCACTTGAAGTCACAGACTGGTGCATAATGTGTCTATTTAACTTTTTAAAAAATAATGTAGAGAAGCGGATTTTTCTTCAAAAAAATTAATAAATTAAGCATTTATAATAAATAAGGAGAGGGGTATCCAGAAATATTACAATAGCCTTCCGTGAGGTTAA